TTTTTAATAAAGACAAAATATAAAGTAATATTTTTTGTATTTTTTCCAAAATTAAAATGACTATAAAATATTAATAAAACTATTTATTTTGTAATTTTCGTTTTTTAATAAAGACAAAATATAAAGTAATATTTTTTGTAGTTTTTCAAAAGTAAAACGACTACAAAACATTAATAGAATTATATTTTTTTGTAATTTTCGAATTTATATAAAGTACCAAAATAAAGTACAATTTTTTTTGTATTTTTCAAGTTTATGAGAAATACATAAACTAAAATTTATATATATATTTTTGTGATTTTTCTTTTTGCAACGAGATAAAGCAAAATAGTTAAAATGACTATATTAGACCCAATTACATATTTACGCTAAAAAAATGTGAAAATCCTCGGGGAGGGTCAAAAATCACGTGCTTACAATATGGATATAAGACCCTGTACGTTTGAAGAATTTCGGAACTACTATATATTGGCTTGATATGTATTTTCTTTGAAGTAAATCTATTTATCTCTTTAGTTGTTCATTGTGCACTTATGTATTATAAAGTACACATATTGGATGCAGTCATTACGATTTAGGGGTAGATTATTTGTTTGCTTGAACCATGCGCGTATGCATTGCAGCAGAGAATAATTGCAATGGCTTCTCTTAGTTATTTCACTGCCTTGGAGATCCTATTTTATTAACTTTTTGGTGTTTCATGTAGATGATATACATTTATTTGTTTATATTTCTTGAGGATGTAGAAGCATGTTATAATAGCCTCTCCAGATGGAACAAGACCGTTTTTTTGTCATAGACTATTCATTAGATTATAGGGGATTTGTAATAAGACCCCGTAAGTTAACAACCTTGATACCGTTAGATACATATTGATATGATATTTATATTGAGTGGAACATTTTTGTAAAAAGTTTGTAAAAAAATAAATAATATAATTTAATATAGTTATTAATATTACTGCTTTCAAATATATTTTAAATTATACACATAATATGAGGAAGTTTATGAGATTTTCTTTATTGTACGGATAGAAATTATTTTCTTATAAGAAAAGAAAGTTATCCTTTTACCATTTTAAGAGTTAAGCATACGAGAACTTTTACTCTTTTGTATGAGATTAGAAAAATTATAAGTTGAGAAAATATATGTATTTATACATAGATGTTTCAATAAAATAATACTGTATGTATTTATTTTATACGGTACCACATGACCGTAATAGTACGGTGTATAAAAATATAAAGTGTATTAAAAATAAATAGAATATTAAGTAATTTGAAATAATTTTTAATTATGCGGGTAATTGGTTAATTACCGGGTGATGAAATATTACCTAATTAACTAATAAGTTGGATAAGATTAAATTTTCCCCTACCCCACGTGGCAGCCCCTTTCTTTCATTTAAGTGACTCTTACCTTAAAGTTGCAAGGTGGCAACATTTAAGAGAATTGCACATTACCTCATTTAGTTAAGGAAGTGTTGGACAAGAGATTTTAGCACATTATATTACAAAGTTTTACTTTGCTTACTGCAAAAGCTAGAGGAGATGCACTTTCAATCTAATTCTCTAAATAAAATCTATGCTATTTGCTCCTAGGTTGAACGGAAGCTTGTAATATGATTCCTTGGAGATTCATCCAGAATGTGTACCTGCACACCAACATGTTTTGATCACTGCCAACATGAAGCTAGTGAAGTACAAAAGCTAGAACTTCAAAACAATGTCCAATTCTAATTCGTTGAAGTTTCTTCTTACAGACTGGGTAAGTTTGGCCTATACTTCTATGGTTTCCATAAAAAAGTATTACCAAAGAAAAGCATAGCTTCCTATTACAAAGTTAGGAAATGGTCTAGACATATTCGTAATAAACATAATGCTCTATTTCATATGACTATTATATGATCGTTTTTCTTGATTAGCATGTTTAATTCTTATGTATATAGTCACTTGATTCTTAGCAACTGTTGTTTAAATACTTCAATTTCGTTGTTATTTTATATTTGCAAGCTAAGATTTATTAATCCTCATATAGCTTTAATTTTCAGATTTTGAGATATCGTTTTATCGACAATTCTTAAACAATAAACGAAACAGACCTTTGTTTAAGTTTTTTATTGAGTTCTCGTCTATAATGAAAAACTTTAGAAGTTATTTGCTTATTCTGTTTTATACTTTAATTATAGAGATTTTGATTTAGGCTTGAAAGAGTACATGAATTTAAGTTAGATCAAAGAAAGGGAACAAATAGCATGTACTATCGAGAGTTTCTGTCACGTTAAGATAATTCAATAGATCAAAAATTGAATTTTCCGTTCTCTCAATTCTTGCTACACATGCATTGATCATATGAAAATTTTTATCCATAATTCTAGTAGATTGAAGTTATATATTTACTGTGGGCGGAGCCGGTCCTTCGGTTCGGCCGAACCCATTAACTTTAGTTCAAATCTTATATTTATCTTAATAAATTTATTAAATATGTTCAAATTATTAATTTAGAATACAGTAACTAACTTGAAAGAATTAAAATTTAAACCCATAATTTTTAACTCCATTTGAAGATGGTGGGATATTATGTATTCTTCTTTCCCTTGTTATTGATTTTTTTTATTGTGGGTCCTTTTCCATAAAATGATGGCTTAATAGCCGCAACCAGATAAATTAGACTTTGATTTGTGGAGAACATAATGTTCTGATGAATTTTTGAATTCCCATATGTCTTATTGTTACATCTTCTATTCATGGATCTTAGAAAAATACGTAAGTTGAAAAAAAGTATATTTCATGATATTAAAAAGAGGTATAATGGTCTTATGACGTTTCGAGAAGTTTTATTAATGTACTTCTTATATATTGCATTCACATGTGCATTTACCCATGACTCAGATGGCGTTATATACGCGTATATATATGTATATGGGATATGGGAAAAGGTTACGACGTTATATACGCACCACCACCTGATCAGTTGGTATATGTTGATGATTTTCCCACAGTGACCGAGATGATATGATGGGATTCCGTCAGAGGCGTGATGATGTTATGGCGTTATATACGCGTATGTATATATATATATATATATATATATGGAATATGGGAAATTTATGGCGTTATATACGCACCACCACCTGATCAGCTGGTATACATTGATGATTTGCCCACAGTGGTCATGATGATGTGATGGGATGCTCTCAGAGGTATGATGATGTTACGAACACATGTACCCATGCACGACATGACATTCATACGCATATGCATAGCACTATAAGTATTTCATGATTTACAGAGTCATCCAAACTTACAGTTTAAGTCATTTACTCTATATTTCTTCCATATCTTTAGTTAATGTTGACTTATTGTTATGTTTCAGTTCTGCCTTACATACTCAGTACAGTATTCGTACTGACGTCCTTTTGTTGGGGATGTTGCATTCATGCCTGCAGGTATAAACAATTAGTTTGACGAGCCCTCATAGTATACAAGAGTAGCATTCAGCAAAGAATCGGTAAGACTCTACCTCATTCGGAGTACAGCGAGTCTATGAGTCATTCTGTCAGAGTTTTGCTACAAACTTATGGGTAGGCCGGTACCCTGTCCCATTTGATATCGAATTGTGACGACCCGGCCGGTCGTCTTAAGAATTAACGCCCCTATCCCCTATTAATTGCTTTCTCCAAGTTTATTTTTGCTATTTTGATTTGCCGGGATGTTTGGTTTTGAGTTTCGGAGAGTTTTGGGACACTTAGTCCCTAAATGAGAGCTTAAGTGTTGGAAAGTTGATGGTAGTTGGAGCAATGTGAAGACAATCTCGGAATGGAAATCCGATGGTTCCGTTAGCTCTGTTGGAAACTTTCGGATTTAGGAGCATGATCGGATTGTGTTTTGGAGGTCCGTAGCTAATTTAGGCTTGAAATGTCGAAAGTTGAATTTTTGGAGTTTCCGGTCCGATAGTGAGATTTTGATCCGAGGGTCAGAATGGAATTCTGGAAGTTGGAGTAGCTTCGTAGTGTTGAATGTGACGTATGTGCAAAATTCAGGTCATTCGGACGAGGTTTAATAGACTTTTTAATCGAAAGCGCATTTCTAGAGTTTTGGAGTTCTTAGGCTTAAATCCGAGGTTAAATTGGTGTTTTGGTGTTGTTTTGAGCGTTCCAAAGGTTGGAATAAGTTTGAATGATGTTTTGGGATTGGCTGGCATGTTTGGTTGAGGTCTCAGAGCCCTCGGGTGAGTTTCTGGTGCTTAGCGGAAGTTGAATTTGGAGTTAGGAAGGTTTTTACATTGTTGGCATCTGTCATAACCGCAACTGCGGTTTGGGTCCCGTAGGTGCGGAGCCGCAGAAGCGGCATTTCAACTGCAGAAGAAAAATTGGGGAGTCCAGCAGGAGCCGCAGATGCAGTGGAGCCATCGTAGAAGCGGAGCTGGGAAGGAGCTACAGGTTCCGCAAATGCGGAAGTAATACCGCAGAAGCGGTGCTGCATCTGTGAAAAGGGAATCGCAGGTGCGGATCCAGGCCTCTAAGTGAAAGTCGCAGGTGCGACCTTTTTTTCCGCAAAAGCAGGACCGCAGATGCGGAAACAGCTGGGCAGAATATAAAAATTTCAAAACGAGGGTTTAGCCATTTTTGAGAAAACTTAAGCTTGGGAGCTCGAATTTGAGTGAAATTTTGAGGAATTTTCAGAGCTATCGATTGGGTAATGATTCCTAACTCCTTTTTTTCTTGTAACCCGTTAATCTAAACATTAATTCATCATTTAATTTCGGGAATTTGTATGAAAATTGGGCAAAAGTTCTTTGGTCAAGAATTTGAGTTTTGATTGGGGATTTGACATTGGATTGAAATAATTTTTATATGGTTAGACTCGTGAGGGTGTGAGGATTCTGGAAATGTGGATTTTATCTGGTTCCAAGACGTGGGCCCGAGGGGCGTTTTGGTCATTTTACATAGTTTCACGTATTAGCTTAGAATTTAATTGTAGAATCAGTTACTTGAAGTGTTATTTACATTATGAAATTGAATTGAATAGATTTGGGCCATTTGGAGTTGAGTACTCGTGGCAAGAGCGTGGTTTCAGATTGCTTTTGAGCCGGTTCGAGGTAAGTGGCTTTCTAACCTTGTGTGGGGGACCTTCCCCTTAGGATATAATATATTTGATAATTGAAATGCCTTGTACGTGAGGTGACGAGCGCATACTTGAACTAATTGTTGAAAATCTGGTTTTTCCTTAAGTATTTCAAATTAAGTTCTTTTTCCTGTTTTATTCTACTTGTGAATTTAGCCTGTTGCTAGTTTAGAAAAGCATGTTTAGCTGACTTAATTGCCTATTTGCTTAAACTGCCTTAATTGCATTACGTGAAGCATATTAGGATAGAATTAACTGTTTACTTGGTACGAAATTTAGCTTAATTGGGTATTCGTGTGTTGCTGCTGTGTGTTTTTACTTTGGGACTACAGGACGACATCCCGGGAGATCCCCGTACGTATTTATGATCCGAACTGAGGTGCAGGATACCAAGAGATTTCTGGCACGTATATTGAGGATACCAAGAGATCCTCGAAATACCAAGAGATCCCTAGCATATATTGAGGATACCAAGAGATCCTCGGGATACCGAGAGATCCCTAGCATTTATTGAGGATACCAAGAGATCCCTAGCATATATTGAGGATAACCAAGAGATCCTCGGGATACCAAGATATCCCCGGTTATCATCCTTGTTATGAGTGGTACTTCCTTGTTGTTTGCCTTCATCTCTGTTTCCGTTATTGTACTCTTATTATCCTGTATAGATTCTTACTGTAGATTCTCAATTGCACTGCTTATCTTATCCTGTCATCTTTATATTTTATTTAACCTCAGTAGGGCCCTGACCTTCCTCGACCGAGGTTAGGCTTGGCACTTACTGAGTACCGCTATGGTGTACTCATGCCATTTCTGCGCATGTTTCTCATGTGCAGATCCAGGTACCGCTACTCAGGCCTATCATCCTTGAGGAGGCGAATGCTCTAGAGACTTCGAGGTACATCTTTTGTATCCGTAGACCGAGAAATCCCTTTCTATTCCTGCTTTTAGTATTTTAGCCCTTATGTATTTTTCTGTTCTTATTAGGCATTCCGGAATTAGAGCCATGTAGTATTGATCTTAGCTTGTGATTCGTGGGTTTTCGGGTCTTGGATTTATGTTTTGGTATTGAGGGTTAAGCATGGTGTATGCCGAGCGGCACGTTTAAACACTGTTACTGCTTTATTTCTGTTTTAAATTGTTTACTTCCGCAAAATTTTGGTTTTTCTTTCGTAAATTAGGCTTACCTAGTCGTAGAGACTAGGTGCCATCACAATGGTTCACAGAGGGCGAACTGGGGTCGTGACAAGTTGGTATCAGAGCTCTAGGTTCATAGGAGTCATGGATCACAAGCCGATTTATTAGAGTCTCGCTGATCGGTACGGAGACGTATGTACTTATCTACGAGAGACTATGTAACTGGTAGGAAAATTCCACTTTATTTGATTTCCTTGTCGTGCGATATTTTGATATCACAATTCTAAACTTCTGTCTTCTATTCTCTCACAGATGGTGAGGACACGCACTACCCAAGATGATCAGGCACTTGCGCCCCCTACTGCAGCCGTTAGAGGCCGAGGCCCGGGTAGAGGCCGAGGACGCGACATGGTGCAGCCAGAACACCTGTGCGAGCTGCCGCTGAGGTACTACCAGTAGTTCCAGCTGGAGTCCAAGCACCTGATATGCCTACTGCTACTACTACTCCAGCCTTCAAGAGACTTTGGCACAGTTCATGAGCATGTACACCACCTTGGCTCAGGCAGGGTAGCTTCCCCTTGCTGCAGCTACATCTCTGGCCGGGGGAGGAGCATAGACTCTCGCCGCTCGCACTCCTGAGTAGCGAGTGCATGTCGAGTAGGTCCCTAAGATTATTCCTGCACCGCTTACAGTGTCAGTTTAGCCCGAAGATAGGGCAGCGGCTTCCGAGGAGGAGCAGATGAGGCTTGAGAGGTTTAAGAAGTACAAGCCTCCGGTTTCAGCGGTCTAGCATCGGAGGATGCTATGGGATTTCTAGATGAGATTTACCGCATTCTCCATACCTTGGGTATATTAGGATCGAGCGGGGTTTCCTTCACTACCTTCCATCTTCGAGGTGCCGCTTATGAGTGGTGGCGCACCTATGATTTAGATAGTCCAGATGAGGCTGCTTCACTGACTTGGGCTCAGTTTTCCCTTAGGGACGCATGGCGCACCGAGTTTGAGCATTTGCGCCAAGGTGCTATGACTGTCTCAGAGTGTGCCGTCCGTTACACTAGTTTGGCTAGGCATGCACCAGCCTTGGTTTCCACTATTTGCGAGAGGGTTTGTCGGTTTATTGAGGGCCTTATTCCCAACATCAGGTCTAGCATGGCTCGTGAGTTGGAGATGGACATTTCTTATCAGCAGGTGGTGAGCATTTCTAGGATGATTGATGGTATGCATGCTAGGGAGAGAGAGAGAGGAGATGTAAAGCCCCAGAAAATCTTGCTAAGTAATTTAGGATTTCGTGGTGCCAAGGTAGGCTAATTTTTTTATTTGTGTGTGAAAAAGAGGATTCATGATATAATGCATATCAATTGGATATGTTAATAAGCGTATAAGTCATATTATAAGTTATTTGGGGTCTAAGGAGATGCCTAAGTCTAAGCCAAGTTGAAAATTTTTATAATAGACTAAAGTTGTAAATGAGTACGCACAAGACCTCACTTTGGACAAGCATATCTTCATTTATATAAGATGTTGTGTGATGAACAATCTATCAAATTAAAGCTCTTTAAGTCTAGTTTGCAAATCATCAAACCGTTCATCATTTGGAGGTGTATACAGAAAGTTATGACCATTTTATCAGACCTATGTCAGATGCGCGTCTGCGGCTCGGCCGGGGGAAAATTGAGAGTTTCTTCCTCCCGAGCACGGTATGAGCGCGGCCACCGTGTCCCGAGCACGGTTTGACCACGGTTAAGAGGCCTCCGAACTGGCGAGTGCTTAAATCGAACCATCTCGATTTAGAGAGGTCGATGGGAGAGCTTTAACTGAAGCTCCCGAACCAGAAGGAGGTGAGGCCATGCCCCAAACTAGGGGGTCGAGAAGGAGACCGGAGATGAGACTCCTCGAGCAGAGGAAAGTGCCTCGAAAGATGCCCTTGGGGTGATTGACCTCGCCGGGTCTCCTCAATTTTCAGATGCCATGATCCATGAGGCCGGTATGCTAGAAAGTCGTTCTTATGAGGGGCCTCAGGGGCAACAGATATCTATAACTTCTTATATGGGTTAGAGTCTACTACCCTAGAGGATGTCACTAGGCTCGGAGACTTGCCGGTTCCAAAGAAGGTACCATCATCGTAAGTCAGTGGGTCTTCCTCGAGCCTAAAGTTAGTGGATTGCTTCCCTACCCCGAATGTTGACTCTGACCGAAAGCGGTCAATAGTTTTCTCTATCCCGGAGGATGCTCAGGTTTTATCTATCCCCGTAGGGGTTACTAGCTATCTTCGGTATTTGGGGACCGAAGAAGATCAGGCAGTGATGGACAAGGTAGAAACCCCTGCCTATTCGATGAAGCTCAACAAGCGTTGAATCGGGTAACTTCGAATGTCTTTTTTCTTATGTATTTTAAACTTAAAGTTGTAAAAAATCATAACACCTTCCTTTATACTTGCAGGATTTGGTGCTCCACCATGATACTTTCCTCCGATACCGGGAGGCATTAACCCATCACGAGGCCGAGGTTCGGGATCTCACTGAGAAGAGGGACACCTACAAGCTTCTTAGTGAAAAGCCTCAGGGCAAGTTAGAAGTGGCTTGGAGGGAACATGCTAAGATGGCCGAGCAGGTAATAAGAGTACTTCATAATAGTGAAGACGAATTGGACATAGTGGCTAACGATCCGATCCTGCAGGTTCGACAGATGCTTGAAGAGATCGGGCAGCTCCAGGTACAGGTAGATACGATACAAGCCGAGGTTGAGGAGTTGAAGAAAAATATATGCCTCTTAGCCTCGAAAAAGGAAGCTATCCAAGCACAACTAGATTCGGCTGAGGCCCAGCTCCGGGCTGCAAAAGAGAAGACCTTGGTGCAGGCCAAGAAAATCGAGGAGCTCCAATCTTAGTTGGACTTGGCTACTTCTGGTAAAGAGAATCAGGCCAAGGAACTCGAGACGGCCAAATCAGAGGTGGTTGTGGACAAGACCAAGGCTGAAGCTAAAGTGGCCCAGTACAAGGTTGATGTCGAGGTGATTTAGGTGCAGGCTAAAAGTATGGTGGATCATGCAAGGTGGCAAGCTCGAAGGGAAGCCGTTGAGGGAATCCATGCTCAGAACTTCGATATACTGGCTGAAATCGAGAATGCCAAAGTATAAGAAGCCAGGGCCCGGAAGCTGGCCTTTCCCGAGGAAGATTCCGAGAGTTAAGCATGTTTGAAGACGGGGAACATCCCGTAGATGAAGATGCTGCCTCCGATGGGGACCTGGACACTTAGGCCTTTATATGTTTTTATTTTTTGCATCTTTTTGAGGCTGTTTCGTCTATTGTAGATTTTTGTATTGGGACATTTTGGCCTTTGTAAAAAGATAATTGGGTAAATATATATACAAGGCTTTCTTTCCCCCTTCGACTTTTAAATTTTCCCTTTGCTTTATCACTTGTATTCACAAAGGCCGGAATTCCTTAGCATAAAATAACTTAGGTTATGTTTGAAAGTTCAAAGTAACCTCGCCTTTACATTGCTCTGTTTTGAGGCGACTTGGGGTTCGGTGTTACCGTAAACTTTCTCCCAAAGTAGGTAATTCAAATTATAGTTTTCCAAGGGTAGCCTTTAAAATCGGTCATGAAAAAACAATTTTCTTTTTTGAAGGCCTATCTTTTGTTACGGTTCTTAAACGTCTCCGAGCCGTGTTAATATAGTCTTAGACTTTTAGTACAGGCGTCGCCCGATGGGCTTCCCTTTCCGAGTTACCCAGGCCTTTCTATGATAATAGTCCCCGAGTGGGTATGGTCGTGGCCTCTAAAATCCGAGGGTTGCCTAATAGGTCTTATGCTCCCGATGTTTAATAGCTCGATCTATTTGAGTTTGTTTTTCGGATGGCAGTCCCTGAGTGAGGGAGTGATCATCCGTACTTCAGTTATAAGCGGCCCTTGAGCTCGTTACTCTTAGGAGATCGGAAGTATGAAATTCTTTAAGGGATGTAGAGAGGAAATTTTTAAAAAATAAGATAATTTCAAGGAAAGTACTTCTCTTTATTCTTGTACAAAACAGTTATACATGCGTACATGTTTTATGCCAGGGCTCGAGTAATCTATGTGGGCATGGTTCATTTGACCGTTTTGCCCTTACAACAAATCCTACCTGTCGAGACCCTTCCATTATGAAGTAATTTCCTCGCTAAAGTCAATATCCGAGGGTAATGCCCTCTAGTATTCGAGGTTGATTGTAGAGGAATCTCATATACTGTAAACGCAGTCTTCGACATTGTTTCGTGATCGGCCTTTGATTCTAAGTTAGCATTATCCACTATTGCCTTGTTAAAAACCTTGTCGGAAAACCCATTTGGGACAAATCGGTCTATGGAAAAAAAAGTGCAACGCGTGCTTTCAGACCTAAAATTTCGTGCTGCTTCTTGTCTATTACCTGAAAATATTAGTCTACAATAAAAGAAAATGAACTGGGTCGTACCTTACTAGTAATATTGTTTTAGGTGAGTTACGTTCCAATTGCTCAGTAGTTGTTCTCCGTTTATCATTCTGAGCTTATATGATCCTTTCCCGGTGACTTTGAGAATCTGGTATGGTCCTTCCCAGTTCAAACCCAATTTCCCTTCGTTTAGATTCCGGTGTTTAGTGTGACCTTCCCTAGTACTAATTCCCTGATATTGAAGTATCGAAGGTTGGCCCTTCGATTGTAATACCTCTAGATCTGTTGCTTTTGGGCGGCCAATCGGACAAGGGCGGCTTCACGCCTTTCATCCAATAGTTCCAGGCTTGTATTCATTGCCCCGTCATTTGATTCCTTTGTTGCATATCAGAATCTGATACTTGGCTCTCCGACTTTGATCGGTATTAAATCTTCGGCGCCATAAACCAAAGAGAACGGTGTAGCCCCGGTACTGGACTTCGAGGTTGTGCGATATGCCTAAAGAACTTGGGGCAGGATCTTCTTCCATTTTTCCTTGGCATCGGTTAACCTCTTCTTAAAGTTTTGGATTATGGTTTTGTTGGTTGATTTGGCTTGTCCATTTCCACTAGGATGATAAGGTGTCGATAAGAATCTTTTGATCTTCTAGAAACTTGGTCAATTTGCTGCCGATAAATTTTTTCCCATTGTCACATACAATTTCAGATGGCATCCCGAACCGACATATGATGTGGTCCCAAATAAAGTCGATGACTTCCTTCTCCCTGACCTTCTCGTACTCCTGGGCTTCAACCCACTTAGAAAAATAGTCGATCATAAATAAGATAAATTGAGCCTTACCTGGTGCCCATGGAAGAGGACCAGCAATGTCCATTCCTCACTCCATGAATGGCCATGGTGATAAGATAGAATGTAGCACTTCCCCCGGTAGGTGAATCATCGGAGCATGTCTTTGGAATTTGTCACATTTTTCATACGAACTCCTTCGCATTTTTTTCCATATCTATCCAATAATAGCCGACTCTAATTACCTTTCGAACCAATGATTCAGCGCCTGAGTGGTTTTCGCAGGTGCCCTCGTGGACTTTCCTTAGAACGTACTCGGTATCTGCCGGTCCCAGACATATTACTAGCGGGCCATCGAACTTTCTTCTAAACAAGGCTCCTTCTATGGACAAGCTGAGTCTGGCTGCCTTTGTGCGTAGGGCCCTCGATTATTTTAGATCCGAGAGTAATTTCCCGGTCTTCAAATACTCTACGTATTTATTTTTCCAATCCTAAGTCAGGATTGTGGAGTTTATTTAGACGTGACCTTCTTTTACTACCGATCTCATGAGTTGTACGACTACTCCCGATTGAGCTCGTCATCCTCAACTGAAGAGCCTAAGTTCACAAGTGCATCTGCCTCACTATTTTGATCTCGAGGTACGTGCTGCAAAGTCCATTCTTGAATCGATGTAATGTTACCTACAACTTATCCAGGTACCTTTGCATCCGTTCTTCTCTAACTTCGAACATTCCATTAACTTGATTTACCACAAAGAGGGTGTCGCATTTAGCTTCGATCACCTCATCTCCCAAACTTTTGGCTAGTTCGAGACCAGCAATCATGGCCTTATATTCGGCCTTATTGTTAGTCAATTTCACAATTCTAATGGACAGTCTCACTATATTACCTATGGGTGGCTTTAGTATGATGCCATGTCTGGACCCCTTTGCGTTCGATGCACCGTCAGTAAACAGATTCCAAATTCCTGAAGACGTCCCTGATTTTACCAACAACTCTCTTTCAACCTCGGTATTAGGGCCGACATGAATTCAACCACAAAATCTGCCAAAATTTGTGACTTAATGGCTTTCTGGGGTCAATATTCAATATCATACCCACTAATTTCTATGACCCATTTGGCCAATCATCCCGAGAGTTTGGGTTTATGCATTATATTACACAATGGGTAAGTTGTCACAATACATATAGGGTGGCACTGAAAGTATGGTTTCAGTTTTCTAGAGGCGCTTAGCAAATCGAGCGCCAGTTTTTCTAAGTGAGGATATCTAGTTTCAGCCTCACCTAAGGTCTGGCTAACATAATTAATCGGAAATTGCATGCCTTGTTCTTCCCGAACTAGGACACCACCTACTTCTATCTCTGATACTACCAAATACAAGTACAATTGCTCATCTGTCCTCGGTGTGTGAAGCAGTGGCGGGCTCAATAAATATCTCTTAAGTTCTTCCAAGGCCCATTGGCATTCCAAGGTCTATGTGAAGTTATTTTTCTTATTCAGCAATGAGAAAATTGATGACTCTTATCGGAGGAGAGGACCTCGAAATGAATCGCCCCAAGGCGGCTATACGCCCGGTTAAACTTTGTACGACCTTCATGTTGTCCATTACCATGATATCCTCGATAGCTTTGATCTTGTCGGGGTTGATCTCGATTCCTTGATTGGATACCATGAACCCAAGAAATTTACTCGATCTGACTCCGAACATGAATTTTTCCGGATTCAACTTCATGTTGTACTTCTTCAATATACTAAAAGTTTCCTACAAATGCTTTAAATGGTCCTCTACTTGAAGGGACTTAACTAACATATCATCAATGTAAACTTCCATTTGTCCTTCGAACATCTGGTTTACTAGGCGTTGATATGTGGCACCAGAATTTTTTAATCCAAATGGCATTACATTATAACAGTATGTGCCATACTTAGTGATGAAGGAGGTCTTTTCTTGATCATCCAGGTTCATTCGTATTTGGTTGTGCCCGGAGTAGGCATCGAGAAAACTGAGGATCTCGTGACAGGCCATGACATCGATCATGTGATCGATGTTAGGCAAAGGGAAAGAGTCTTTGGGGTATGCCTTATTTAAATCCTAATAATCCACATACATTCTAAGTTTGTTCCCTTTTTAGGGACTACTACTACAATTGCTAGCCATTCCGAGTAGTTGACTTCCTAGATGGACCCTATTTTAAGGATTTTAGTTACCTCGTCCTTGATGAAAACATGCTTGATTTCGGACTGTGGTCTCCTTTTCTGCTTGACCGAATGGAATTTTGGGTCCAGGCTTAGTTTGTGAGTGGTGATCTTCGGTGGTATCCCTATCATTTCGAGATGGGACCATGATCGGTTCCAAACCTGCACTACTATAGAGTAGCAAGGATGGTCGATGCAGTTTTACCAAACAAAGGTCGGGATCGAATCCACAGGGAGTTATGAGTTTGGAGTTAGGTTTATATCCGAGTAGAGATACGAGTTTGCCCTTAATTGCACTTCCACAAATGGTTGGTTTTGTTATCTACTTCTACTTCTACTTCTATAGCATGCGATAGTTAAAGCAAAGTACAATATTTTTGTTGGTTGTTTTCAAGGATTAAAAGGGACTAGGGTAGTGACTTCCTCCTAGGTGGATATCTAACGGGTATCGAGAATTCTGGGAAAGCTTATTATGATTGGGGTCGTGATATAACCATCATACATAAGTGCTCACTCTATATCTCTCGGTAGTTTCAGTGACTTTGCCCTATTTGGCTTTCTCAAGTCCAAATGGGTGTTCACGCATAACAAATGATATTGGCTCAAGTCGGGTATTACTATCTCTAGGTTTAACCCTTTAATTGGGGCTATCAATCTCTTGAATGCACCACAGTTCCTTGTTAGCCTAATTTTCCTAGACTTAGTCTCTCTTTCTCAAGAAGAGTCTAAGTCATAAAGGTATAAATTATTGTTCGCGACCACCAATTCTACAATTAATGCATGAATCATTCTAAATATCACTAACCCATAAACAATTAAGCCCTAAAATTCAAGACCCATTAAATATCCACACTAGGGTTGGGTCACAACCCTAGCTATGGATTTAGCTACTCATGAAACTAGTAGAAATCAAAGTTGAAGATGAAATATAAGCCGTAATGTTCAAATACATGATGAAAATCTGAAGATTAAAGATGAATCTACTCTAAAATTACTCAA